CCAACCAGCCAGCCAAGGCTGAGTGCATTAGATACTTGCTCTGGGTCACAGGCAGTGTGAGAAGGTGGGCCAAGATTTTACTTTAGGTCAGCTGGATTTCAAAGCCCTCAGCTTTTGTTAGCGATAAGCAGTTCCGTCTCTGGGCTAAAATCTTGCTTGTTGGTTGGAATGCTAATACTCGTAAAGGATCTCTGAGTGATCAGTCCCTTGTACTGGAGCAAGGCCTTGTCCATCAGCGCCTTCTTAAAAGAGGAAGGTTTTCGTGAAGCAAAGGCGAAGAGAGCGTGGGGACGGAGTGCTCCCGAAAGGACACGGGCACGCAGTGCTCACAGGAGTGAACGCCTTGGGGTGGCCAGTCTCCACAGCGGCATCCTGCAACTCGGGAACCCAACCAGTGGGCCCTCCAGAGCCACACATGGCTAGATGGCAACAGACCCTTTCCTATTGGAGCACTGTGGAGTCTGGGTCCAGCATGGGGAGGCAGGAGAGAGAACCGTGGAGGATGATGGGGCCCGGGAGTGGGACTGGCACGGAACCTATTCCGGGAGCATTTCAGCTCCTGCTCCAGAGGTGGCATGGCGCCTCCCACTTCACTGATTGCTCTGCACCGCTCGCCAAGCACCTGGGGCTTGGTGGGCCCTGGTAACTCGGATGCGGTCAGGCGAGGCCTCACTGGCACCAGAGACACGCATTTTGCCTGAACCTGACCGAGCTTTTCTGTTGCCTGAAGCAGATGAGTATGAGTTTTGAGAGTCTTACATGTGCACACACATGTGCACCTGTTTATGTATACAATGTTTTTTACATACGTATGCACACTCACATGCCTGTCTGTTTACAGTATATTTTATATACGTATGCACAAACGCCTGTCTGTTTACAGTATATTTTATATACATATGCACACACACGCCTGTTTATGTATACAGTATTTTATATACGCATGCACACACACATACATGCCAGTATGCTTATGTATACAGTACATGTTATATACACATGTGCACCTGTTTATGTATAAGTCTTTATATATACATATGCATGCACACATGCCTGTTTATGTACACGGTATGTTTTATATGTGTATGCACACATACATGCTGGTGTGCTTAGTGTTTTATATACACACGTGTGCCTGTTTATGGATACAGTATGTTTTACATATGCATACACATGCACCTGTGTTTATGTACAGTATGTTTTATGTATGTATGCAGACATACATGCCTGTGTTTATGTAGTATGTTATATACATGCACCCACACACGCATGCCTGTTTACGTAGTTTTATATAGACATATGCACACACATGCTTGTATTTACATATACAGTAAGTTTTGTATATATGCACACACACATACATGCCTATGTACAGTAAGTTTTATAGACATGTACAGTTTACAGTGTTTTGTATGTACGTATGCACACACACATACATGCCTGTTTATGTATACAGAATGTTATATATGTATATGTACACACATATGTATGCAGTTTTGTATATATGTACACACATGCCTGTATTTATGTATACAGTATGTGTTTTTTATATATACATATATATACACACTCACACACACGCATGCCTGTTTATGCATACAGTATGGTCTTTACATATATATAAGCACACATTCGCTTGAGTGTTATGCATTCAGTATGTTTTGTGTTTATGTACGCACACACATACATGCCTGCGCACACCTGGCACTTCCTGCCCCTGTGCCACATGCTCACACCGCCGGGTCACACACAGCTTTGGTGCCACTGCCTGCTGGATCACCTACCTTCTCGTACACCAAGAGCGTGCTCTGCTGGACTTAGGGCCTGTGTGCAAATGTCTGCCCTAGCACCGGAGGACAGGGAGGGGTCCTGGAGCATCTCAGGACAGAGGCCTGAGCAGTGCACACACAGCACCGTAGTGCAAGTCCAGGCCGCGGCTCGTCAGTGGGCAGAGGGTGCCCGCTGCTTGCCGGCAGTGGAGACAGTTTACTATCCTTAGTGCCACCGCCAATCTGTGTCTCCCAGGAGTAGCTCAGGCTTGGGAAATGGTGACAGCTGAGGTTTCCTGAGTGCTCAGCACACACAGACACTGCGCCAGGAGTGCTACATGCATGATGTCACCTGGTCCTCCCAGCTGCTCCAGAGGCAGGGAGCACCGCCACCCGGAGGGAAGCCACAGTGCATCTGATGGCCGGCCCCAGCCAGCGCTGACAGTGACAGGGCTGTGACCAGGGCTGTGACTGTGGGACCCGGCACCTGTGCTCCTAGCCAACATGGTCTGCTGCCCATCCTCTGCGGCAGCCTGTCCACACTCGAACGCAGCAGTCCTTGGCGAGCACTCCTCCCTGGCTGAGAGCCGCCTCCCCGGCCACTCGCTGGCCGGGCTGTCTTCTGCAGAGATCCGAGTTGGTCCCGACAGTTCCAGTGATGACAGGGAGCGAGCCTCCTCTCTGAGGCATCCTCCTCCAGCCAATATACCCAGGACCAGTGGCAGCTTCATTTAAATAACAAATGCGATTCCAGGTACTCAAATTCACTTCACACACCACATCTTAGGAACACGTTATGTAAGGAGCTGCTGACTAAAATAGCAGGTGGTCCTCACCCAGGCTACTGGGCACGGCCCCTACCTCCCTGGGGCTGACTGGCAGTGTGAGCCATGCCGTGGGGCGGTTACGCCGTCCTGTTACACACTTCCATTTAGCCAGACCAGTGATGCCAGCACTGCAGGGCAGGACATCAGGTGGGAAGCTCCTTGGCAGCCATGCTTACAGGCCTGGGCTCTCGCCTCCAGGCCGGCGCTACCAGGAGTCCTGATCTTGATAGTCACTGCCCAGGAAGTTCTGAGCTCCAATCACAGGTACTTTCTTTGGACTGGCTTTTTAATTTTTTCACTTCAGCCTATACATATTAACCACCAAAAAATATAAGTGATGATGAACAGAAAAGTAATCCCATTTTTTTTCTTTTCCTTTCTTTCTTGGAGAGGTTTTGCTATAGGGCGTGTGGGCCCGCCAGAAAGACAGAGTCACACAGGGAGAAAGAAAGCGAGAAATCACTCCTCAGGGGGATGGCCATGCCATAATCCCTTCTCCTCCGTTCTCCTCTTGGGATCTTGGGCACACACAAACACACACCTAGCATGAGTTTAAGCCACTGGGTCCGGGACTCGAACAGCAGTTAACTACATGGGAGTCCAGCGACATACTCATTACGCTAACTGCTGGTCCCAATCCCCTCATTTTTGAAGTGAAGATTTAATTTAGCACAAGCCTGTACTGGGAACCTGGGATATTTTTAATGTCTTACCCATCTCTCTCACAAAAAAATTGAGACACATCTTTTAGTGAGCCTATTCTGAAACTACTGGGGAAAAACCACCTATCGATCACCAGCTCGGGTGGAAAACTGGGTGGTTTTTCTAGCTGGCGGAGTCTAATTGCTAACTGTTTACACAAATACCACACAGAGCGAACGAAAGCGAGGCAGAGGCTGGCCCTTTTCCAGACTAGCCTGAACAGCCTCTCATCCAAAAGCATTAAGAAAGTAAACTTTAAAACGCTGTGAGAGAAAGGGCTATTTTCATGACAGATGGCAGTGAGGGCTCTTCAATGCCAATTTAATCACTTTCCCTCAATTTTCAAATGCTTAAGTTGTAGCTCCCAGTGTCTGCAAGCAGCACTCTCACTGCCGAACCGGAAGAGGGCAAGGAGGATGACTCATGCGTGCTGTGGTTTCGCCAGCCTCTAAGAGTCATTTTAGGGCAATTCTACCCCTCAGGAAAGTAATGCCATTCAACAGATACTCCATCTTCCGACATCGAGAAAGTTCTATGCTGTGAGAGCCGTTTTGGTATCGCAGACACAGAAGCTGCCCCCAATGGGAAGTATAAGTTGTATCATGACTTCTTGGCCCAATGACTTAAGGACTAGGCTCTGCTGGTGGAGAATTAATAGGCAGAATAGGCTCTGAGTTTGAGTACTGTTCTTGCATCTTACAGGTAAGTAAAGAACCGAGGCCCCGAGAATGCTCATTGCAACCAATACCCACTTATGGCAGCGCTGGGCCCAGAGCTCCAGGTCTCAGCTCCGTCCAGTGCGCTGTTACCCCCATCAGAACGCCAACTTTTCCAGGGAATATTGTGAAAACTGCCCCATCTTATGATGCTATTTTACAAACTGTATGTAAGTTTAAAAAAAATGTTTTTGAAAACTATTTGAGTGCCATAGTTCTTAGGCCTTTTGGAAATTAACATGTAAGTTTTATAGGCTATTCAGTACTCTGGTACGGTGTCTCAGGTATGAGGCTGATAGGAGAGCTGACCACCACGTGTGTCCTTCTCACAGGTTCAAATTACATACACATAAACATCCAGGAAGGAAACAAACATCCCCGAAGTCACGGAAAGATGACGCTGACAGCACATGCCGCAGTAGGGAACTTAGCCTGCTGGGCGAGGCGGGGCAGGTCTTCAAGAGTCACTCATGTAAAGCCTGAGAAGGTAACAAGCAGCTTCTCTGCAGAGCTGTGTCTTCTCCAAGAAGTGCTACCGAGCGTGCCATGAGACCACCTGAATTACTGCGTCTCTCAGCCAGACGGGGTAGGTAACCAAACAGCATTTCTCAAAATGAGCAGTGTATTCAGGAGGCATGAGAGACAACTGTAGCTGAGGAAGACAGGTGTCATTAACAGAACACTGGTGGCTCTCTGGGGACAGATCGCATTCCTATCCCCAGGACACTGTCCAAACCTTTTACCTCCCCTAAAATGTAAGCCCCCCACTTCCTGTGTTCTTGCTGCCTTCTGGCCCTGGCTGAGGCTCCCCCTGCAGGCTGAGGAGGGGCTGACTGTAGACCTCTGGGCCATGGGCATGCTCTGAACCTGGCACGTGGCCGTGGAGCACAGCGCAGGTCAAACGTGCTCGGAAATGGGTCGGAGGACCCACACAAGCTGGACTCAAAAGGCCTGTCCCGCTCTTAAAAAAGGAACAGACAAAAATATTAATCATGTTTTCCTTTTAATAAGGGTTTTTACTCAAAAGTGTAGCTTTGAAAATCTAGCTTGTTGTGAAAACCAGAAAAGCCGGGGCGCCGCCTCCCTCTGGCCAGCCACACAGAGCTGTGGGCCGCAGCGTGCTTGCAAACACTCCTCTCCGGACGCCGGGGAGCCAACGCACCACTTCAAACCAGAGCCAGCATTTAGAATTAGGAGGCTGATGCATGTCTACTTTGACTCAAGGAGAAAGAACAAATTCTTAATACACTAAAACAAAACATGAGGAACAAACCAATCTTCAGAAATCACTAGAGAGAGAGGTGTGTGTGTATATATTTATATAATTAGGATTATCATCGACATTTAGAACTATTAAAAATAAGGTTGCCACCTTACCTTTGCTTTTGGTACTGGGGTTTTTGTTTGTTTGTTTTAAGGAGAAAAACAAAAGATTTTGCCCAGACGCTATAGTTTCCTGACCCACTCCTGCTTCTCCACTATGCCACTGCCCCTCCTCGCTGAACACCCAGAGTCCCGCGTCCACTCTCACTGCAGGAGGCAGGGCAGCTTCCACTCGGCCACAGCTGAGGGAGGAACGGAGTTCTTCCTTCCTGGGAAGAAAGTACATCTGCCCACGATGGGTCTGCAAAATCTTCCGAAGGCACCTCTTCCCCTTTGTGTGGCTGTTTGCTACCTTGTTTATTTTGCCTAGAAGCAAGATGGCAATCTTAATCCAAAAGGGAGCTAGATTTTTAAAATAACTTAAAAAAATCATTTTATATTATATAAAGCAGCAAAAACGTATTTTCCTCTCTGCGGAAAGAAAATGTTAACAGGGAAACGCAGCGATGTCACAGACTGCCCATCAACTCGCCAACCGGAATCTGCCTGACAGAGCTCCAGCTCAGAGCGCCTCTCCCACCCCTGCAGTGCTGCCTGAAGAAGGTCCTTTGGCATCTTCAACGGCTCTTTCGCTTTCTTCTGGATTTGAACTTCCACTCTCAGACCTGGTCCCGTTGGGGATAGAGTTTTCACCATTTACGAGCCCGTTCTCCGCAGCCTTCGCTTTGCTGGCGGCCTCTCTGCTGTTGAAGGCCTCCTGCACGCCAGCCTCCTCCTCCAGGGTTCTCAGGACCAGGGGGAGCCTCGAGTCCCCCATGCTGCTCTCCAGCAGCCCAAGGTTACTGTCCTCGTATCTGGGAAGTGGAGCCTTCCCCTCCACCTGTCTGCGGTAGTACTCCCGGTTGGCAGCCGCACTCCTGACCGCTCTCTCCAAAATCTCTTTCTCGCCTAAGCGCAACTTGATGGCCATTGTTGCACGGACAGAAAGGTCACGGCTTTTCAAGACAGACTTATCTTCCTGGAGAACAAAAAGAGCAAAATTCAGTATAAGGAGTTTAAATCAGCAAAACAACAGTGACAGAAGGCAGATCAGCTGTTGCTGGGGATGGGGCGTGAGAGAACTTTTTGGGGTGATGGAAGGTTTAAAACTTGACTGTGCTGGTGGTCATGTGATGAGACTTATATGGAAATGTATACTTTAAAAGTGTGAATCTTAGAGTGTGTACATTATACTCCAATAAAGCTGAGAGAGAGAGAGAGAGAAGAGCCCAAAGCAAACAGTGCTGACACTTCTGACAGAGAAGGCCAGTTCTATTAAAGCCACCCTGTCCTCGCAGACAGCGGCCCTCGGCGCGGTCCCTGGCTGAAAGGCACAGGTCAGTCACCAAGGAAGAAGAACCTGAAGTCAGTGGCTCAATGGCGGACTTTGGAAGCACAAATGAAAACGTATGTTCATGGTATCATATGAATTACAAACTTTTTAAAGTAAGAAATCATTTAAAAAATGTATCTTCTAATTAATAATGTCTTGGTATGACTTGGAGGGTAATTAGAAAAATATTAATAATGGCAGTCCAGGCAGAGTGGCATAAGCGGTAGGGTGTCACTGTGCAAGGCTGGGGCCACACAGGAGGCCTGGACTCAGACCTCGGACGGGCCTGAATGGGCCGGGACAGGGGAGCACAGTGGTCTAAGCACCTCACCAGCTTCCCTCCCCTCCGCCCACCGCACTCACTTGCTCTAGTGCCTCAGAAAAGAAAAATATTAATATTGAATGAAAAATGTCAAATACACAATTATTTTTGCTAGAGAATGATAGTAATTAACACTTAGGAAGGAATCTCTTCATTTTCCACCCTGAGAGACGTGACAAAGCACAAATCCTTAGCCTAATTACCTCGATTGTTGTTTTATATGTTTTTAAAAGAAGCGAAGCTCTGTCTTCGAGAAACGTCCAAAGTTTGACCTCATTGTCCCAGCTAACTGGAAATTCGGAGTTACCCAAGGTGAAGATCCGATCGATTGCACTGTCTCCCAGCAAGTGCTCCTTCAGCTCTTCTACAAGAGACACAAACGGCGATCTGTGAGAGGGAGACCGGCACTTCCGCTTGAACGAGAGATCTACCTTTGAGCACATCTTTGCCAACAGCGTCATGTCCCCGTGGTTAAAAGCTTGCCCTGATCAGTCGGTCAAGCCATTTCTAGACTCTTCAAAGCAGAGCTGGAGCTCAGTTTCAGAGAAGGAGAAAAAGGAGACGCCTTCTCGATCTGGAACCCAGGCAAGCCTTGGCGCAGCACCCACGCTTCATCATCTTCATGAGACACTGAGCGCCTGTTGACAGGGTCACCAGACCTTGTAAGGACAGCCTGTGACTACATGCTCCTTGTGACAATACCCTTTTTGCTAGCCAGGAGCTCAGCGCCACAGCTGGGTTAGAGAGACGTGTAGGTGAACAATGGAAACGGGAAAACCGAAGAACAATCAGCAACCCGGTGAGCCCCTAAGTTTAAATCTGACGGTGCTTATTCCATAGTTGGCCTGACAAAGCTATTCATCTCGTCTTATAATGAGGAAGCCACAAACGGAAAGAAACAAGAAAATGGACTATAAAAATCTTAATGAAAAACGTGCCTGTACCTCTCACTGATCAGGAGTTCAAATGGGAATTACAAATAAATGCAAGTGAACATCTCGATCACCTCCAAGTGTATTTAAGAGGAGCAAAGAATTCAGCAATGTTCCGGGCACGTCGTCTCTGAAAGACCAAAACCCGCCGTCCTGCTCGTGCTCCGGAAAGATGCCCGTGCTGCTTATGCCGTTAGGAGACAACATCTCTTTCAGAGCGAAATGCCCCACAGCTGTCACTGTTTACAACTCAAATCGAAGAGCTTCTGCTGCCGCCAAAAAACTTTTATTAGTATCAGAGTTACTCTAAGAATGCGTCAATTGTCTTGACATGACACATTGTCTATGACTAAAGAGAAACTATAGAGAATCAATGGGCCTAAAATTATTCAAGCAGGGTTTTTTTGATAAGAAAATAGAGCTTATCTAATATTCAAAAGAAATTTGTTAAGTTGTATTTGTTAGTAAAAATCCTTACAGAATTCAGGAGTTTTTGAATTTTTCATTCTTTGCTTTATGCTCTTTGTATAATGCAATGAAGATTTTTTAAAAAGGCTTTTTAGTGGTAGAAATGTCTTTTAAGAAGTCGCAGAAACTGAGGCTAGCACTTTCATCTCTTCCCTCTGTATGCCCAAGTTCTACTCTTCCATGTGAGGCAGAGCTTTCTCTTAACGCTCTTAACGTTACAGGTGCCACTTGACTCATTTCACAGTGCTGCAGAAATACAGCCTGCACAAAATGGAGTAAGGCCGTGGGGCGTGCGGCTGCCCGGGACGGGAGGAGGAGAGCCCAGGGCTGCCCGGGACGGGAGGAGGAGAGCCCTGGGCTGCCCGGGACGTGAGGAGGAAGACCCAGGGCTGCCCGGGACGTGAGGAGGGGAGGCCAGGGCTGCCCGGGACCGGAGGAGGAGAGCCCAGGGCTGCCTGGGACGTGAGGAGGAAGACCCAGGGCTGCCTGGGACATGAGGAGGAGAGCCCAGGGCTGCCCGGGACGGGAGGAGGAGCCAGGGCTGCCGGGTGGCCTCCTTCACGTGTCCTCTCCTAGCTCACATACGCTGTGTCGCTCCTGGACTTGACAGCCAGCCCCATGTGTCACTTTCACCCAGAGTGCAGTGTTTGGCCTCTGCGGGGTGCAGAGTCCTGGCACCCTCACTCCCCGCTCTGCTGGAAATGCCACCACAGTCCTCGGACCCCTCCTCCTCTGCCAAGGTCAAACCTTCGTCGTGCTCCCAGGTCTTATTCAAGCACCATTTCCCTAAACCCACAGGGTGCTGAGAACTTCTTCCATAACCACGTTACTGTGAACAGAGGGAGCAACACAGGGTATTCGGGAGCGCTGGGGCGCACAGAGCCGGGCTCACAGTCAGGGCCATCATCTGCTAGCTGAGTGACCCAGGCAAGTCTCTCATCCTCTCCGAATTGGAGCTGATACATTGGTAAAATGGAATTCTTGTCTAGCAAGGCTGCTGAGACTGAAATCAAGTATGGGCCACAGTCAGCATCGTGCCTGGCACATGGTGAGCGCTCCAGAAACGAGAGGAAGGCCATCACTCTCATCTCTCCTGCTCATGGAGTCCTTGAGACCATGGGACTGCAGCCATTCAATGGCGTACCTCTGTCCCTCTCTGTCTGTCTCTATCTATCCATCTCTATATATAAGTGAAAAAAGCCCGCAGTTAATGCTTACCTCACATTCATGCTACTGACTGGAAGAACCACGAGTAAAGTGCTGATGTCAGTGGTGTGCCCACTCGAGTGACAGTGACTCTACAGCAATATGACTGCCTTCAGTGAGAACCCCCACTCGTCGGGGTTCTATAGTTGGCGTCTCAATTGCCTGTGTTTTGGGATTTAGGCTTTTCTATCTCAAGCTAGGCATCAAGGCCTGGATTGGACAGCAGTTTTCCCTGGATCCAGACATGGCAACCAGGAGCTAATGACAGCAGAGCATAGCAGTGTCCCCTCCCTGGGCTGTGACCAACTGTTCTGACCCAAACTCCCCTTCCCCTAACGCTCAGACCGCTTCCATGCAAAGAACAGGTACCTGTCTGTCCAACCAGCCACTCACTCACTCATTCGTTCCCTTACTCCTACCCACTCTGTCCTGCACAGGTAGTTCGCAACACCACACACACACACACACACACTCACTCACCCCATAAATAAAAATGAAACCTTCAGATTAGGGAATTAGGAGGGGTACATTATAGGATGAAAAATGAAAACACAACTGCAAGAGGTCAACTCTCAGTATGAGAAAGCTCAAATGACTTGTCTTGAACAAATATAAAAGCAGATGCTCGATACACACATTTAACACAACACATACATTTACTGTTGCTCCCCTGCTTTACTTATATTTAAAGTAATAAGCACACAGAAAGCTCCCGTCTACAAATGGAGCATTTTGATGTATTTAGACAATCCAAGGTGTTTTAAGATCTCTTCCAGCGCAGTTCAGAACTATCTGTGTTGTGTACAAATGTGTATTGACAACACAGTAAGAACAGTAACACATTTCCACAGTAAAAGAGATTGACAGCTTCTTTCTCCAAGACTGCCCTCCCACCTCTTCCCAAAGCTACTTTAATTTTAAGCTATTCTGTCTTTCATTTGAATCTCTATGCTTTGCTCTACATCTCTACGAATTTCAAAGCAGAAGTAGGAAGTCAACACTGCACGCCCCCCCCCCCCCACCCCCCCGGTTCTGTGTCCTCCCTCGGA